ATATTTATAGGCAACATTTATGATACATGGAGGTTTTCAGGAAAAAAATTATTATAATTGTTTTATTTTACAAGTTTTGCTATGTGTTGTAGCTTTTAAAAATTGTTTTGTAGTTTTTTTAAATGTTTATAAGATTAACATGTGCTGCTGTTGAATTTCTAACCCGGATATAAGAAAACGGATATAAGAAAAGATATAAGAAAACCCGGATATAAAACCTGGATATAAGAAAACCCGGATATAAGAAAAAGAAAAACCCGGATATAAGAAAAACCCGGATATAAGAAAAACCCGGATATAAGAAAAACCCGGATATAAGAAAAACCCGGATATAAGAAAAACCCGGATATAAGAAAAACCCGGATATAAGAAAAACCCGGATATAAGAGAGATTTTCTCTGGTCCCAAATTAGAGCCTTACTTACCTAAACAAAATAGACCAAACCCGGATATAAGAGACTTCTTCTCCGGTCCCGACAACTCTCTTATATCCGGGTTACACTGTATAAACTTGTTGTGGAGTGATTTTGCAGTGGAGGATTGTATTTGTACTAAGTCAGTCCTAAAATAGGTTCAACGTACAAAATGTTAGGAACTTGGTATTACGCAGAGTAATCTGGTTGTGGTCGCTGATACTCTTGTATTCGACTAACTGTTGTCCAACATCGACTGACTGCCTCGTTCCTCTTACTACTCCTACTTATTATAGGTGGGAGAGTCTATTAACTATAGAATAGGTGTGTTCCACCATAACAAAACTTTAAAAATCAAGAGATCAGTTGAATCTGCTTACATTGGTTTCAACCTTATGGTATCCTCAGGTGATTTTTATCAAATATTTAATATTTGATAAAAATCACCTGAGGATAGCATGAGGTTGAAACCAAGGTAGTGGATTCAATTGATCTCCTGATTTTAAAGTTAAAAGTTCTAAGTGTTATTTTTACTTTTATTTTTTCACACATGTATTGAGCTATATAAAAAATATAATTAAAAGAGAGAATAATTTACTAAGATGAAAATGTTTAGAAAGTACTTTAACCAAAAGTTCATCCACAGTAAATTTGTGTCCAGGTTAATACGTTTCACCTTTTTTGGCAGATCTTCTGTTATCACAAGGTGAGATGTTTAATAACAAAGATGATGGAAAGAAAAAAAAATATCTAAATGAGACTGGTTAGATTATATATCCCCCCCCCAAAAAAAACCCTTCTAAATACGCCCCTCCATTTCTCAATGGTGTGCATGTGTAGACACATCAACATAAATGAACCTAATCCAATGAAGTCTTAAGGGACTAAATGCATCATACATCTTTCCTCAAAAGCTGATCTTGATATACGAAAATTTATATATCGTTATCCCATATGTTATCTTTCTTATTTATATATATATATATATATATATATATATATATATATATATATACACACACACACACAAGCTTAAGCATTGCCCATCGAATGGCATTTAAGCTAGCTCATCTTGATTGGGCCTTCATTACAATAGATAGGTAGGAGTAGAAGTGATAGCCAACAATAAACTACAGAAGAACTTACTGCATTTAATTATTGCTTTAAGTAAGTTTGTCTTAAAATTACAATGAAAATTTTTCTACTTCCACTTAATTTAAAGTCAATTTGATGTATGTAGGTCCTTACTTCCTGTATAAACAATTATTTTTACTTCATGGGTGACTTTCACAATTAATTTGGATTATTACCAAGTTATAAAAAGTGTTATCATACAAAAAAAATTTGTCACAACAACAAAAAAAGAAAAAGTTGCCAAAAACGACAGTAATGAAAACTTGGGACCAGGATTCCAGGTCCAGTTTTGTTGCTGCTACTGTAGGATAGGATACAAACCTTGTGAAGGTTGGATCGAAGGCTGGCCATCATGTGGTCAAGACGGTCAGCTACCTGTTTGGCCTGAGTCTCAAGATCAATCAAAGCATGGGGATCAATGGGTGGAATGTCATCAGGGCTCGGTGGCACCAGGCTGCTGGGTGATTGAGACACTGCAGAATATGACGCTCTCGAGGCTGAGTTTGTGCTAGAGATGCTACCAAAGCTCTGGACACTTGATGTTCTTGTGTGGAGGCTGCTGGAATCTGGGATACAAAAAGTTTGGGGGAAAAAAAAAAGTTAAAATTTTATGATTTTGGTAAAAGGAAAGTCACAGATAGATAAAAAAAAATCTGGGAATGGTCATGGGTTGAAAAGTACAGAGTGCTGCATTAAAAAATTCATTAGTAAATTCATGTAATTTACATAGGTTTTACTAGTTATCATTGTTACTTTCATTATTATTACTATTAAGATTCAGTGAAAACAGAACACCATTAAAGTGATGCTGGGATACAATATAAACACTGACGAAAGTGTATCAGGCACATCCATCACAGCCAAATGTATGCAGCATGGTAACAGCCACCCCCACCTTTTCATAACCTTGCATGTGAGAATGAATTAGGAATACCCTCAGGTTGGGTAACCAAGGCCGCTCATATAGGACTGATCCAGGGTGTTTCCAACTATGTTGATGTGACTCCCTGGTCACCTTGGCTGTCTCATTCTCTAAACTTTAAAAAAAAAAAAAAAATACTCGACACCTGGGCATGATGTTCTCCTCACAACTCTCAATCATGAACAGAGATGTACAGTCTGCTATCCCCTAGAGGACACGCCCAACTGGTTTTGATCAGGCAGCTGACAAGCAAATCTCTGACACTGAACAGGATTATTTTCAGTTACCCATCTTTTGTTGTGAATACAAAACACGTACGCGTGAACACCTCTGATTATTTAAGATTATCTTAGCATCTTATAATTCTGCTTGTTCCTTATGGAGTTAGCGTATATGTTACATCCTGCCAATATCTTATAGACAGGCTTTTTGCAAAGTGGGAGCAGATAAGCTATATTTCTTTTGTAATAGATTCAAGAGTTATATTTATTTCAATTAGAAGCATGTTGGGGTTTTTTTTTTTTTTACAGGTTTTCAACTTCCCATGCAATTAGAAGCACCTGCTATTTAAAAGTGAGACAACGCTAGTAAAAAAAAAACAACAATAAAAGAAAAACAACAATAAAAGAACAAAAACAAAAAAAAAACAAACAAAAACCAAAAATAAACAAAACAAAAAAACAACATTTAAAGTGACTATATATATATATATATATATATATATATATATATAAAGTTAAAGATGTTTGGTAATCCATATGGATAATTCCAGAGAGCTCAATGTAAAACAGAGTAAATATTAATTTACTTAAGAAACAGACAACTTTAAGGGTTCATGGTGATTATAATTTATTTCTTTAGAATCAAATTTTGATTCGAATTCCTCAGATTGACATTTTCATACAAATATATGGGTGACAAATATTCCATCTATACCTGGAATATTTGTATGAAAATGTCACCTGATGAATTAGAATTGAAATTTGATTCAAAGGAAGCTTTAAAGTTATATATATATTATATATATATATATATATATATATAGTACACACACAACTTATTTTTTGAGCATATCTGTCTACTAAGGTGGCAAGACAATTTCTGTTGCAGATACCTGCTCAGTAACATTTGTGTTTGCTCAACACCTACGGAGCACACCTGTGGTTTATATGCAACTATGCTGAGCAGATGTTACCTTTTCCGAGAGAGCATAATCTGGCATAATCAGGAGTTTGAACAATACCACTATGCTCAAAGCCTTGGTCATGAAGGCTTTTGATAGTGTTAGCACAACCATTGATGGTTTCTGAACACTTCTGTTAACCCAATTTCACTCAAGGATGGTGTCAATCTGTGGTATGGTTTTCAGGCACTCCCAAAAGATGCTCCAGGTTGGGATTTCTTTTTTGACAAATCAATCATGGCGACCCAGGTCTCATGGTCAGAAAGCAAATATGCTAACCACTTGGACATGCACGTGTGTATGTGTGTGTGCGTGCACATGAATATAAAGTTTTTAGATGTAACTAAAAATACGTCTGTAAAAAGACAAGAGGAAAACTTAGCTGACGCATTTGCTGGAATAAAAGAGGAAAAAGAAAAAAAAGATAAATAGGACATTATCAATGGTAATAAACTAGATGAAAACAAACATATAAGAATACCTACTAACTTCTTAGCATCTAATATCCAAAACAATTTATCTAATTGTCACAATATCAAGATAACAACCACATCCAAAATTCTGTCTATATTTCTGAGATGAGGTATTATCTACATTATTTACATTATTCGGACTATTGTCCCATCTTTGTCGCCATACTTATTACAACATTTTGGTCGTTGTATGCTCCGGCCTTCTTCAGGTGGTTGGAATGTCGGACTGGACCCTTTATTTTGCTCGCTGGGGTAGACTGTTCTAGTTCCATGTGCCATGTTTAATGGATGTCCATTGTACGCTCCGACCTTCTTCAGGTGGTTGGAATGTCGAACTTAACCGGCTATTGAACTCACTCTTTGGCTCCTGTCACTGAATCGAACTAACACCTTTATCCACTGTGCCATAAAAGTGTTAGTTAGATCCAGTGACAGGACCCAAAGAGTGTGAGTTCAATACCCGGTCAAGGCAGTGGAGAACTTTCAGAGGGAAATTAACAGGAGATAACTGATAACTGACATCCATTAAACATGTTGTAATAAATATGGCGACAAAGATGAGGACAATAGTCCGAATAATGTAAATAATGTACACATCCAAAATTATTATGGATAGAATCAGAACCAGGTACATATAAAATTAAACTGTCACAAATGCTCCTCACAATACATTGGAGAAACTTGCAGAAATTAATGAAAAAAAAAAAAAAAATGATCTATAAATATTAAAAGAATTAATTTATTTTTGTTTATTAGACATTCAATTACACCACTTAGTATGTATCGTGATTTACCTAGTCTTTTTAGTTAGCCTAATGAATATTTATGAAGGTTCCTATACATAAGAACTTGAAAAAAAAAAAAAACAACATTTTTACTTTTCTTTATAAATATTTGTTCCAAAATAAATTTCTTACATTTGCCTTGAAAAGTCCATCAGAGGAAAAAAAACATCAGCTAAGATAAATTTTCCTTTTCTCTGTATTCACACACACATATATATATATATATATATATATATATATATATATATATATATATATATATATAGTTTTAAGGTGTGCTATATTTATGAAATAAAGTGCTCAATATCGGGATTGAGTGTAAAAATAAAAGTGAACATTGAAGTCAACACTCAGAGGCGACAGATTGTTTTATGCTAGATGCAATCATCAGGCCACCATATATCACACACAAAGTGTAACAGCAAAATTATCCATTCTACCAAATGTTTAATATCTAAAAACCACTAAACTAATTGAGTTTCTTTTTCATATAAGACGTTAAGCCATCAAGACACCATTTATTTAAGAATCACTGAAAACCTCTGAGTTATTCAGCTAGAAAGATAACAGGTTAAAATTGTCTTGTGTCAGCCCGCTGTCTTCCCAAATGAGCAACAGTGAGAGGAAGAGGGATCATGGTTTCAACTTAGAGCTAAAGAGATCAATTAGAAAAGATCCAACTCAATCCATAATATGTTTTGCACATGAGAAAGGAATTTCAGTTATGACAGTCCAAAGAGCAGTGAAAAAGGAAATTGTATGTGAAATATATGAAGAAACTTGTTACTCCAGGACAGAAAGTTAGGTGTTAGAGAGGGCAAAGATCATCTTGAATAAGTTGGAAAATGATCCTGAATTTTATATTATATATATATATATATATATATATAAAATATATATAAAAAAATTTCAATCCTTCATGAGCTTCTGATCCTTAGCTATGATTAATTACTGATGAACATGCCATTTTCATTTATGAGGAATTTCATCATGATTCTCCTATTAAGCTTGGAGAGTAATTATACATTCTTATTGCTCAAAGTTATTGTTATAAAAACCTCAGAGAATTCCAGTAAGATATCTTTAATCATTTCTAAGATACAACAGTTCAGAACTTGATCTAACAAATGGACATATTTGCTTTTACCTGATTTGAACAATTTTGCTGTTGCACCCGGTACACACACACACATATATATATATATATATATATATATATATATATATATAAGTTTTGTTTATTTATTTATTTAGTTGACATGTGGAAATACAATGAAATCTTTTTAAAAACCAAAATTTTTTATTGTTCCTGCTGCCTTTGTCAGTGTTTAATATTGAAGAAGTGTGTTTTATGAACTGGGCTGAATTTCAAACAGACAAATGAATGACAAAAAGGAAAAACTGAAAGGTCAAGGGTCTCTGTATCTTTAATGTAAACTGTAACCTGCATTTTTTGTATTTCACCCACCACTTTTCATAGACAAGACTGATTCTTCTGGTAAACAGTCACATGCCAGAACATGTTCCTTTTTGGAATGGAAGGACTAACAGGTTCCTCCATCTTGCCATTCATCTGCCCACTATTATTCTGAAGTTATATATATTGTTTTAAATTTGATATAATCAGAAGGGAAGAGCGTTCAATATTGGAGATAGGGCATTTATAAATATAGTCAGGGTGGATACAGGAATCAATATACATACACACATGATCACACACAAGGTCTGTTTAAAAAGTAATGGGATTGGTGACACAATTTATTCAATTCCAAACAACTACATTTTCAGTTTCAAAGTAATCCCCCTTGAGTCTAATGGACTTTTCCATCCTTTCCCACCTCACTTCTATGAACTATTGGAATGCTCCTCAGCTCCATATTAAGTTGTTAAATAGCAAGTACTGAACTGATAGCCTTCAGCTAATATAAACTTGAGCTTTAAAAAAAAAAAAAAAGAAAGTCACATGGAGCAAGATCAGGTGAATAGGAAGATCGTCCCAGTACAGCAATGTTCTTGACCAGGAACTGCTGGATGCTCAGGGCATTGTGAGCAGGTGCATTGTTGTGGTGAAGCGGCCATGATTTGGCCTGCTACAATTCTCGCATGTGTATAAAAAAAAAAATTGCAATGGTTGCAGAAAGTTAAGATTACAGTGATATACTCCCAAGATATCATGTTAGATGATAACCCAATCTGCTTATCA